TAGGCAGTGAGCCTGGCACTTCAGGTTCCAATGGCTCGCCACTGCCAAGTTTGTGTCTGTCCTCAGACTCCCATTCTTTCACCTGATTTTTGGGCCTCAGCAAAGGCACAGCTCTCCTAGACAAGAGCCTCCCCCTGCCCCACATCCCCAGGGCCCCGTCACCTTAGAATAGAAGTAGCTGTGCTCTTTAATCTTGCCTGGCCTCAGTGTTCCATCCTAAAAATGGGGATGATGGCAGGTGCAACCTTAAGTCATTGGGTCTTACTGATTAAGGCATTAGTGACTGACAAATTAAAAGCCACTGAGAGTGGTGAAGAGGTCCAGAGCTGTAAGCCAATGGTGCCCTTCAGCGCCCTTCACTGATGAGGCAGGGATGGCCCAGGTGTGCTCTGGTCTGAGTGACTGGAGCAGCCACTAACTTGTCCTTTTCAAAAGCAACTTCTGAAAGCACACACACGCACACAGACAGCACCCACACCATCATGGCTCCTCTTTAAGTCCAGCATCCCAGCAACATACTGGGCTAGAGACTGAGAGGTCATGAAGCCCAACCATTGTCCAAGGTTGAGGTGGGAAAACTGAGACCCTGAGAGGAAGGGTAACCTGTACAGATGGCCAGGCTGGCTGTGCTGGGACTGGGTGGGAGTACCGCTGCCCCCCTCTGCAGCCACATGCTGGGCTGGCACTCGCTGTAGTTGAAGCTTTAGATGTGGGTACCGAGCCTATGGCCACAGGGAAATGAGGTTCTACAGAAACCTCTAGGAGACCCAGGGCAGCAGAGAGAACAGGCCAGGAGGGGGTGGGAGGTGGAGGGCAGGTGGGCTGCAGGAGCCTTTGCAGCGCTTCAGGGCAGTGCCTGGTGCTCGCTTGGGGAAGGGAGAGGCCCCTCTGGGTGGAAACGCCTCCTGCTGGGGCTTGCAGCCTTCACTCTTCCCTGTAGGCCTCAGCCATGCCGATAGACAGCCACACTGAGAGCAGTATTTGAGAGAAGCCCTAACAAAACTGAGACAGAAGGCGCCACAGTTGTCACCTCTGCCCACACCTTTATCAGCAGGCAAACAGCCACACCACACACCTGGCCTGAGTCAGAGAGCATCCCTGCCATTGTTTGCTGGCTTCTGATGAGGAACTCCAGCTCGCTGTACAGTTTCTGTTTGCTTGGGCGGATGACCACTCACAGTCACTGTGGTTCCAAGGTTCTCTAGGACAGGGGAGGTAGTTAGGAGAAATCCTCATAAAGATTTCCCTTCAATTTGGCCAAAATAAGAATGCAGATCTCTAACTGATAAAGATAACATACCCTTCAGTGTTCTGAGTTTGGGCTCAGCTCTTCTCTCTCCTTCCTGCTGGCCAGTCTCCGTGACACCTCTCTTTTCTCCATTACGACCTTTAAACAATTCGGGAAAGATTTGAAACAGAATTAAATCTGAGCAGCAGAGCAGGCACAAGTTGAAAGTGGTTTTTTGGTTCAGGAACCTCGTGACTAGGAGTTATCTGCTCAGAAGCGGAACAAGGAACAGACAGGGCCTGGCGGTGACCACCCTTCCGTAACACACACCTGAGAGGTTCCCTCCTCTGCCAGGACAGGTACAGAGCAGCACCGCTAAAGCGGTGGACCTAGCACATTCCTGCTCCCATGTCCTCCTCGACTGTTGGGACTTGAGGGACATGGCAGCAGACCCACTCTCCAGGTGCAGGCAAAATGGGAGTGATGGGGAGCACTGACTTGCAGAAGGCCACACTGTGCCTAGCCCAGCAGCTGCCCCTCCACCACACTGCAAGTGATTTCATCATTTGCAGGCTGGGGACCAGCAGGTGGACTAGAAGCACGCCTGCAAAATACCACTGACTTTTGGGTTGTGCATTTTAAGTACTAAAGTCAAACATATTCTCTATTTAATTTTAGATGATTTTCTAGCTTTAAGCCTCTGCGTGCATCAATCTGGTCACAGTGGATAAAGACCCATGCCCTCCCTGCCAGGTACTACTGGCTCTCAACCCCTCACTGTTCCAGGAAGGCACTCAAACACCCCATTGCCCCTTCTGTAGGGCACAGCCTCCAAGGGGCCACCAAAGGAATTTGGAAATGCCAGCCCTCTTCCCCAAACCTCCTGCTCACAAGGCCATGGGGCCAGAGCTAAAACCTAGCACCTTTTCAGGGGACTTCCAACATACGAGGTACAAACATATTGTTCTTGACTTAACTATGGGAGGTACGTGTATGTTTTCAAACTCTAAATTGCATCATTCCCAGCCCTCTTAAAGCATATGGAATATACTTGAACTTGGGGTCCTTCCTGGCGCCTCCAAGATGTGCTTTGCCGAGAAGGCGTTTCCCAGCCAGGCGTGGGGGCTGTGCCTCCCTCTCTGGGTCCCCTGTGTGCATCTCAGCATGATTCTGTCCCTAGCCTCACGTTTTGCTCTTCTCCTGAGGATTAAAGTTTCTGCATCCAAGGCCTGCAGCTCTGGTTTCTTCCTTAGGAAGAGAGAGAATGAAAAGCCACCCCTCAGCTGAGGGTCATGCTGCTCGTCCTTTCTGAAAATAGAACTTGAATGAATGCTCCCCTTATGGCACAGTTGGTTTGGTTTTTTTCCAAAAATGATGAAAATAAAAAAGAATAAACCCCAGTCATCCATCAACTAAAAACTTTTGTTCCGATTCTTTAGAAATCAGACACCACACATTCTAGGAGCATCAAGAATGCATTCCTTCCCCTGTGGCTCTTTCCTGTCCATATCGGGGCAAAGTCCTAATGCATTTCTCACATTCGCCGTTGCACCTGACAGTGGAAATACTGAGGGGCAAGTGCAAAACAAATTAAGAATTTAGTTTTCACCAATGTTAAGACATTAAATGTTTTGGGAATGTTTTAGTTGACAGCTATGGGCCTCTGAGGAAATTTTCTTTTAAATAGTGTCCACCTAGCCAGGGTCGTAATTAGCCTCTCGTGTGCCTGACTGGAAGTCCATTTCTGGCACAGAGCCAGTTCTGTGTCTGCACACTGACCCCACTCCTAACTGTTTGGCGACTCTGAAGGAGGGTGTGCCTCAGAATTCAAAAGCAAGACCGGGTTTTCCACTTGGTTTCCAGGTCCCCCTCTGAAAGTGTCCTGACTGGACCCCTTCCCTCATGTTCCCGAGTACAAGAGTTAAGTCCTTAGGGAAGACTTGAGGTCACACAGGGGTTTTCAACTTTCAGTCACCCAAAACAGGACTTTCACTCATTCAAATTCTGTCTTCCCTGGAACTGCCTTGCTGGGAGCCCCACTGGCCTGGGGGTCGGGAGCCCCACTGGCCTGGGGGTCACAGCAGTGTCCTCCAGCTCCAGAGCTCCCCTGTAAGGCCTCCTGCAGACTAATAAGCAAGGGCACAGAAAACACCCACTGTGTGCTGGGTACTGGGTCACTGTCCCTGTGGAGCACAACACTAACTAACATGACATCAGTGTTGACAGGAGTATGAAGAAGCAGCAGAGGATGGGGTGAGGGAGTAGGGAGTGACCAGTGAAGCAGTGCAGACCCTGGGTGGTCAGGGAAGTCTGCTGTGAGGAGGGAGTGGAGCTCTGCAGTGTCCCCAGTATGAATGCATTGGGGTTATCAGGGATGCCTCTAGTTTTATATCCCTATGGTAATGTGAGCACCCCCAGGAGCTGTGAGAGGGGTGACATACTCTGTATGAAAAGCCAGCAAGAACACCTGTCATTCTCTGCTCAGCCATCACCATGGCCATTGCTGGCCTGCCTAACGCTTATCACCCACCCCACAGGCCACCTAGCCCAAGGGCTTTTGCTGTTGCCCCCCCCATGACAATGTCCCCTTGAGTTTTGCCACCCAGAGGTGTCTGAAGATCAGCAGCATTGGCTAGCTCTAACTTGCACACAGGATCTAGTCTAAATGTAGACTCTGAGTCGTAGGGCAGGACCTGTGAATCTGCACCCTGACAAGCCCCAGGGGATGCTGCTGGTGTATGGACCACACAGAGAGTGGCAAGGTTCAAGGTTCGAAGCTCATCTTGCTTGCTGACATTTAGATTTTCCTTCCTGTGTCCTTTTGACATTGACAGAGATCAAGTTTGGTGAACTTCAAAAGTAGAAGTTAACTTCCTGGTCAGTGGGTCACCTAGAAATACAGCACCACATATGTATCGAAGGGGTTCTATTCTGGGGAACAGCTAAGTTGTCCAGAATCCCTGAGGAGGAGGCATGGCCATCCAGTGAACAAAGATGACCACCCCGACCATCCTGCCAACCCAGACATGTTTCTCCCCTTGTTTCTCATCATTTTCACCTCACTCCACTGTGGGACCCGTGTGAACGGGGATCCCAGCACAAACTCATTGCCCTCGGCAGCACGTGGTGTGACCTCCCGCGGAACTTCCCCACCATGACAAAGCTAGGGGAGCACCCCCCGACACCCCCAAGACAGCAAACCTTGTGGTGATTGGTGTCCCCCCACTTTTCCTATCCAGCAAGTCAGTCTCTCTGGCACCCCTTCTCTCACAGAGCCTGCACTGCAGAATCTGAGCTGACCTTGACCTTGACCTTGACCTTGACTTGGAGTTACCTTTTTTCTGTGCTGTTCCCTCTCCCAGGAAATCTAAGACGAGGAATCTCGGGGATGGAACAATTCTCAGAGTAGAGCACACCTTGCTGCTCCAACACAAAGCACAACCCTAGGACAAGAAAGGGGCGGGGCCCTGGATGGAGAATCACTGACGTTGATCTCAAATGGAAAGAGAATGAGGGTGGTTGTGTGTGTTTTCCCAGGGTAGGAAGTGACTCCCTTTTCAAATGTGAGCATGGGCATTTTACACATAGGCTCATTTTGGTTAATTAAATGGCACAAGATTTGCTGAACTACACCAGCTTCCAGACAAGCATTTGCTTGTTTGGATTTCGGCTCTGCCTCTTACTGTGTGACTTAGTAGGCATCCATTTACTTCCAGGTCTAACTAGTCATGACCCTGTGGCTTTGCAGGTGCAGGCCAGACAAGAGGCAGTGATGGGGAAGAAACTGGACCTTTCCAAGCTCACAGATGAGGAGGCTGAGCACATCTGGGCAGTTGTTCAGCGGGACTTTGACCTCAGGAGGAGAGAGGAAGAAAGACTGGAGTGAGTGTCTGGATAAGCCATGGAGGTCAGGTCCTCTGACATCCTGAGCGGCTGTCACCTTAGGTGCCTCTGGATGGGTAGGAGGCCAGAGGAGAGGTGGGGGTGAAGAACATGGCAGGAAGCCAAGACCTGGGAAGTGGTTTGGAGCCTTGGGTTCCTCATAATTATAAAATGAGGCATCCGTTTCTAAACTGTTATTCCATTCTGCTTTGGATAACTTTATTTCAACTTGACCCAGCTGTGGGTATTGTTTCATGAGCCAGACAATAGTCCAGCAAGTGAAAAGTGAACGGAGCTAAAGGTTCATGAGGAATGACATGACATCAATCTCAATCTGAAATGCCTGGACGTTGAGATGGAAGGGACTGGGGGTGGAGGCTGGCTTCTACCCTCTCAGGAGCAAGAGGGGCTTCCCTCCTGCAGGGATGACCCTGGCCCTGTGTGCCGCCTCCCCGCTCCCTGAGCTGAAACCTACCTGGCTGTCCACTCAACCTTCGCCTCACTTTTGCCTCCCTGAAGACCTGAAAAATTGATCCTCTAAGCCTTTATTCTCTTCTCTTAGCATCCTTGGGGGTTGGGTCAGGCTGTTGAGGAGGACAAAGAACAGAAAGAGGTGAAGGAAGTAGCCAAGAGCAAGTCCGAAAGGACAGGCCAGGCAGAAGGGCCATTAAAGATGGCAGAGGGCACCTGAGCTGTTCCAGGAAGTGACTGGAACAGAGTGATCAAGTGACCAGTAGGAAAGGGGGTCTGAGTCCAAGACAGATGGGATGAGTGGAAAGGGGGTGGTACAAGTCATGTTGGCCTTCAAGGTCATGAGGAGTGGGCTACTGGATATGGTCAGGTGTATTTGGAAGGCAAGTTTGCCCAGGGATTGGATGTAGGGTCTCGGGAATGGGAGAAGTCGACAGTGACTCCAAGGTCATGGCCTGAGTGACTGAGAGAATAGCACTGAGGTCAGCTCACTTGGGGAGGGCACATCTGGAGCAGGTTTGGGAAAGCCAGGAAATGGTTTCAGCCATGCTGAAGTCAGATAGCATGTGTAGGTGTGGAGTCCACAATGGACATATATGCTAGTCTGGAGCTCAGAAAAGCACATTCATCACACAGATAGTCTGTGTTCCTTTTCTAGGGCTGTCGTGTATGTAACGTGTAAACTGTAAGTTTGTTGATATTTGAGATCCTAAAGTCAGGATGTCCACAGGGCTTGTTCATTCTGGCAGCTCCAGGGGAGAATCTATTTCCTGGCCTGTCCCAGCTTCTGGGGACACCTGAATTCCTTGACTTGTGGCCTCTTCCTCATCTCCAAGTCCATCAGCATGGCATCTTCCAATCTCTCTAGGCTTCCCTCCCCCTCTTTCTCTGACTCTCCTGCCTTCCTGTTTCCCTTATAAAGACACCCATTGTGGTGGCATAGGGACTTACGTCCAGATAATCCAAGAGAATTCTCCTATCTCAGGAACATATTCCTACCACATCTGCAGAGTCCCTTTCACCATACAGGATAAAGTGCCCTCAGGTTCTGGGGACTAGGCTGTGGATGTTTTGGAGTGAGGGGAACATTTCTCAGCCTAACCCAGTATTCAGAGCTGGGGTACAGGAAGGAGGCTGCCAGGGGAGTAATTCAGATACAAACAGACCTTGCAAGGTCTGTTGCAAGTCCATTGTATCCTTGCAAGTCCAAGAATGGCAGAGCCCAGGGTTGTGGTCACAAGGCAGGCTGGCAAACAGACGAGAGCCTGTGACAGAACATGTGACATTATGTTCTGCTTACTGTCCTGCAGTAAAAGATGGAGACTCTAAGGCGCCTCGTCACGTTGCACTTGTTCCCAGCAGAGTCAGCGTTTATTCCAGCACAGGGTTGCTGGAGCGCTGGCAATCAGCAGCTCCTGCGTGACAGGCGATGCTGGAGAGAGGAGAGCATGGACGAACCCTGCAGGGGATGTTAGAGGATTCTCGGGAAGGGAGGGGAGGCCTCTGGCTCTGATTCAGCCCCGCAGCAGATCTCAGTCTCTCCCAGGAGCTGGCCCATGAAGCTGGGGATGTGGGAACCAGCTGTTCCATGTGTAGCGTGCACAGGGATTCTGGCTCCCCATCAAAACACAGTGCTGCCGGCCTAAGACTCCAAAAGCTCAAAGAGGTAGAGTTAGGGTGTTAAGGCCATTGGCATCGGCAAGTGATTTAGGACAGAACCGACTTCATCTTGTCTCCTACGTCCAGTCCCTGGCGGGTGCTGGTTAAAGTACTGGTTGAGCTTTGAGGATCCGGCAGACGGTCAAGTGAGAGCATGGCCTCCCTGTGCCAAGTCCGCCGTCTGGTGTGGTCTTGTGCTCTGCATGAGGAGGGAGGCTCCCCATGTGGTGAAGAACAGACTTGGCTCAAAAGAGCAGCCTTGGCCTGCACTGTCCTGCAAACCAGGAAGTGCTGAGGGCTCACTAGGGGAGGACCAGGCAGGTCCAAGGACTGAGCCTTGGAGGGAAGGTCAATGATGGGGAGGAAGGAGCCATGTAGGACGGAGCCAGGTATGGCTGCTGAGCGCTCTGTGGCCTTCTGGTACAAGACCCCAGTGGCAAGAAGCAGAAATGTGCCTTGGAAAGGTTGCCTGTTTTCACTGTCAGCACATCCTTAACTCCTTTTCCTTCTCCACAGGGATTTAGTTCTCTTGGAGGTCATCAGCCAGCCTCAGGACCGTATCCTGACCTCTGGGTATAGCTTGAAGGTTGTGGGGGTTTCCATAGTGCACCTCCAGCAGAGGACCTGAGCATAGGCTCAAGGGAGGACCTTCCCTCTTTAGAACCCCATCTTCTAAGAGCAGGTGAATCTGCGGAGGGGTCCACCTCATGGTAACAGTGCTGTCAGAGGAGCAGCTGGTCATCAGGCGAGGTCCTGGGGAGTCAGGAAAGGCCCTCACTCTTGCCCATACTTGTCATGTGGTATGGGCAAGGACCATGTGGTCCTTGCTGCTGTCAGTGCTCTGATGAAACAGGGGTCCTTGTTCAAGATGAAGTGTCCCACCAAAAACGTTCTGGCAGCTGACTCCTGTGGCCCCATCAGCAGCCTTCCTCTGCCTTCTTCCCTTCTCTCCCTGTCTTCAGTGTTTCTTTCGAACAGTCTGCTGACTTCCTCTGTGGCTTGTGCAAGGCCCCCTCCTCCTTCCAACCAGTCATGGTATTCCAAAGTCACATCTTCCCAAAAGGCGTGGGTCCAGGCGCTCTCATGAGCAGATCTTTCAAATGCTCAGAGAACAAATAAATCCTGTAATATTTAAACTGCTTCTGCCAGAGAGAGTTCACGAGTACTGCCGTGAACGCTTTGTCAAAGGACCTTTTGACAAAGACAAAGACAAAGAAAGAAAAACACAGCTCAGTTACATCACCATATCAGTAGCCCTGTGCTTGGCAGAAGCCACCAGCCACAGGTGGCTATTTAAATGAATTGAAATTAAATAAAGGAAGGAAGCCAGCTTCTTCATCCCACTAGCCCCATGTCAGGCGTGCCTGAGTCACACGTTTGGGCAGTGATTGCCACACTGGACCTTTGCAGAGGCCAGTTTGGTCGAATGAAGCAGAAGCCGGAAAGATCTTCTCACCTGTTGATTCCTCAAGTCCCCTGATGAAAGTCGTCCTAGGACAAAGGGGATCAGCTAGAAAGAACCAACGCCCAAACTTCCATGCTATTGAGCAATGGATTGAACTGTGGATTACTTACCACAGTACCCATTAAAATTAATACCTTAGGAATAAGTTGACATGAACACTCACAAGACACTGCTGAGTGGAAAAGGCAAGTTGTGAAAATATAGGGTTTTTTTCTCATTTTACTTTTTTAAAAATATGCAGGAAAATCTAATAATAATAACAATGGGCTCAGCCTTACATTTCTTCCCTTTTTGTCGCTGTTGTTGTTTGTGGTACTGGCATTGAACTCAAGGCCTCACCATTGCTAGACAGGCACTCTACTGCTTGAGCCACACTCCAACCCTGAGCACTCATTTTTTGCAATGATTGTATCCATCCACACATGCATTGGATTCTAGCCCCTTCTCTATCCCCTTTGTGGATTCTTCTCAACTCCTTAAATATTTGCTTTTGGAGATTCTCGAGCCTTGGGCTCAACCCTCACCTTTTCTCTGTGTGCGTCCACTCCCTAGTAACCAGCAACCTCATCCTGCCCAAAGGGTTTTGGCCTTGGTTCTGGTTTTGGCTAGGGAAGGGGTTTTGTTTTTCTTTTCTTTTTTTTTTTTTTTTTCAGTGCTGGGCATCAAACCCAGGGCCTTGTGCTTGCTACCACTCTACCACTGGGCTACACCTCCAGCCCAGCCCCAAGGTTTTAAATGGCCTCTAGCCCAGTACTGCCCAGTCCTGCAGTTATGGGAATGTTTGCATCTGTGCTTTCCAGTGTGGCATCTGCTCACCTGCTACCTGTGGCTATGGAGCATTTGATGTGTGGCTAATGCAGCTGGGGAACTGGATTTTTAATTTAACTTTAATTTAAACTTAAATAGCCACATGTGGCTAATGGCTGGTGGCTACCACCGTGGCCAAATGGTACTAGCCTACCTGACAGGTTCCACATTTGTGTCAGTGTGGGCATCTGATCAGCACCTCCTGATTCCTTCTCCTCTCCAGTGCCCCTTCCCCATCCCGGAAGCCACCTGGGTGCTGAGACCAAGTTCCCAGGAGTACCAGTTTTGCCCCCCTTCTTTCTCAGTCCCCATCCCATATGTCAGCAAGCACATCAAAACATGTCTACTGCTCACTCAGTGCCAGCCCCAAGCCCATCTCCCTTGTGGACGTACAGGGAGCCCTGCTGCCCACCGTCCCCTCTTCCTCCCTCACTGCCCTCTTATCCATTCACTATACAGCCCCCCAGAGTCATCCCGTAGAAATAGGAAGCAGGTCATGTCACACCCCTGCTCATAATCCCCAAAGAGCAGCCCACTGTGTTTATGGTGAGGTTTGCCTACTTGTGGGCTGTGGCTCACAGAACCTCAGCCCTGCCCT